AAAGGCGCCAACTGATATTCATCCTGATTTGCCCTGGGAAGAAAAACCAGTCAAAATATTAATGAAGGATACTAAGAAGCTTCGCAAGAAGGAAATACCCATAGTTCGTGATTTGTGGCAAAGTAATGCCATTGAAGAAGAAACTTGGGAAAGAGAGGATGAAATGAAAGCTCAATATCCCGAACTCTTTAACTAAGGTCATTTCGAGGACGAAATATTTTTTTTAGGGGGGGAAATTATGACATCCCAAAACTTTAGTAAGTTTATAATGCATATTGATACCTTGTATTGTGATGTATATTTCATGTAACATAGTAAAAGAATTTTATTAATAATATTATAAACTTATGAAAAGAATTGAATTAAAATTTTGGTTAAAAAATCATGTGGAAAAAATTAAGGGAAATGAGGTGGCTACTCTCAATAAATGACCTTGCCACTCTAGATATGAAAATGACAAATGATATAAGGTGGCTACTCTCAATAAATAACCTTGCCACTCTAAATATGAAAATGACAAATGGTATGAGGTGGCCACCCTACACATATCATTTTGCCACTCTAAATACTACAATGACAAATGGTATAATAGGGTAAAAGGTGGCAAAATAATGATTAAGAAAAATTAAATTAATTCTAAATTATTACTATAAATAGGGGAGAATGAGAATAATGGAAATGCATACAACAAAAACCAAAATCAAGTAACTTTATAAAGATAGCACTTTGCTTGTCTTGCAACTTGAATGTGAGTAGTCTATACCTACTTTTAGTTCAAACATATTTATTGCAATTATTTTTATTGTATTACTTCTTGCTTTTCAAATCAGTTATAGATTTAAGATTCTACCCATTGACATTGACATTGACACTGCATTAAATATTGGCATTGCATTGAATAATGATTGATATTATTGATTTTACATTAAATTGGTGTAATTGACTAATGAGCTTATATATTGTTATTTTCATATTGTGTGCATGGGTAGGATCGAACATCTATAATTGAGGCTCATTGTTTTCCTTATTTATTCAAATAAAAGGAAGATTATGGTATAGATTACTCGCTGAATAAATATATTCACATTATTTTTTTTTTTTTCTTGTAGATAATCCCTATTGAATATATTGATTTTACCTCGAGTGAATGGATGATTTTTGAGGATGGCCAGTAATGCATGTATGTTAAAGAAGTCCATACATAGATGACGTATCCAGAATTTTCGAGTTTCCACAACTTTGTGGGATCCCATTATTATATAGACTACTTTGAGGCCACTACTATGACGTACTTATTTTCAAATGATTTTCCTGGAAAATAAATAGGTTCCGATGGTCTTTGATATGTAGTAGAAATATTAGTAGAAATCGGTTGGTTATGATAGCAAGATGGTGCGTAGAGCGACTTTTGGATAGTGCAACTTTTGTGTAGTGAAACTTTTGTAATGCAACCTTGTATAACTACTTGTCTCTAATATACTTTTTGCAATGTAACCAAGTATATAAGAAAATTTTCAATTATCTTATATATATTGTTGCTTGCCTACTTCATACTCTACAAATTGCCAAAATTTTTCCCTCTTCACAAAGTGTACAAAAGTTGGAAATCTGTATACATAGAGTTAAATGACTAAATTGGGATTGTGACAATATTTCTTCAATTATCATAGATTTATTTAAATTTTCTCTATTTTTATTTTTATTAGGACATTTATTGGCAAAATATTGAAGATCTCTACAAATATAATATTTACAATCTTTTCTATTTTTTGACCTTTTAACATACCTATAATAATTGGATTTTATATATTTATAATATGTTCTACTTGACCTAATGTTATACTTCTTCTTGTTCTAGTATTATCTTTTAAATTTATGTTTTTTTTTTAATCTTTTTTATCGTACAATTATTTCTTTCTTCTTCTATAATCGTAAAGCAGTGGTGTATATAAATATGAGCAAAAAGAATAATTTAATTTCTTTGTTTTCTAACTACTTTGTCTATACAGTATTTTTCAAATTTATCAGTAACAACTTTTTTATAGTAACGCTCATAGTTGATCCTTTTATTCCAGGTGTTGATTCTACATTATTTCTAATCTTATCATTCTAAGGTGATGTATCTTTTTATATAATCTATCAAGTATAGATACATCTAATGCTAATCTTATTGTACTAACTTGTTTTTCAAAGTCTAATAAAAATGGTTGTATATACTTCATATTGCTTGTACTTAATTTTTTTTATTTTCTAATTCTTCTAAAGTTATCTCTACTAGGCGTCAGATCCTATAATTAGTTCTATAATAAAGCTAATAAAATTTCTTGAATTTTCTCCTGTGATCATTCTTAAACTAATTTATTTCTATTTTAGTCTTTTGACTGTAATATATATGTCTAATATTGTCTTTCCTAGATAGGTTTCTTAATAAACCCACATTTTTTATACAGTCATTTGTATAGGTACATTATGATATGCTATACTTACATAATCTTCTCATTTAGCTATTGTACATGTTTTGTCTTGAGGTTTACAGTTATTTATATCTAAAATTTATCTCCTATCGCTTGCTACAGGTAAACTACATCCTTCTTCTACCTAATATTTTCCTCAACTTTCGTATTTTTTGTCTTCTCATTCATATAATTTTGTAGGGAAGAAGGGTACTTTCCTCTAAAATTGTACTCTTTATTTATATGATCTATTCTTTTTTCAAACTCTTGATCTGTTTCTGATTTAGATATTTTATTATGTTCATTACTTTCTTCCATCTTAATCTCTACATTCTTTTAATGTTCCTCTAATAAAGCTTTAATTTTTACTTCTCTGAATTATCTAAGATTCCTATAATATTTCATATCTATATATTCTAATTTTTTTAATCATCGTTGCTTTCATCTTCACTTTCTCTTCTTTACTATCCTCATTTAATGCATTAATTTCTTTGTCACTTTCATATTCTTCTATTTCAATATGTTTACATTCTTCTTCATTCTCATCTTCATTTTATTTTGTCTGTTTTACTTGATAATTATAATTTCCAAATCTAATACTTATGATATTATCTTCTGGCACTAATATTGATTTTTCTAAAATTATTTCTAAATTCCAATCTATATGGGCATTTAATTTTGTAGATAATTTCTTAACTATTATGCCTTTTATTTCTTTTAGTCCTAATAAAGTAATTATTTGATTATTTTCTAATTTATAATTACTAGTGCTATTTTCACTTAGTCTTCCAATAAATCCTATAAAAATTAACAAATTATCTTCATCTCTTTTCATTTGATATCCTTTTGTTTTTATTCCTGTTTTAATGTCTTTATAAAAACTTTTTTTTTCAATCAAATAATCTAGTGTAAAGTATAATATTCCTCCATTATTATTCATATCTAATGCTATGCTTCCTAATAATCCTTATCCTATGTCTATAAATTTACTATCATATGAACATATTAATACTTTACCTCCTAAATTTTCTCTATAGAGTCCTTTTACTCCTACTATAATTAATTATAAATTAGTCTGTTGAAGATTTTTATTAACATTTACTTTACACGATTCTTGTTTAACTAGGTCTATGGGTACGAATTGATCTTCTTATGTACGGGAATTCTTCGATTTTTGGGGGAGAAATCCTTTGAATGCATATTTAATGAAACATATTATTCTCCATAAAGATGATATATTAAAGATTCGCAATTGATGTTTACTTTCTTGTAAATGTCTAAAGCTTTAACTAATTTTAACTTATTTTGTCTAAAAGTTCGTGTTTGTTCTTCAACATCTATTGAAGATTCTAATATTGTTTCTGATTCCATTTTTCTACTTAATTATCTTATTAAAGGATTGCCTAATATTCTACTACTACCAGCTACAATTTGCTTTCCTTTATCCGTTTCCTATAAATCCACTTGGTCTTCTTAAATCTACTAGATTCTTTAATTTTTTTCAAATCTAAATTTTTTAAACAATTTATTAAATTTCGAATTCTTGTTTAGGAGTCTCTATTGACACTTCTTTTTCTAATTTTAGCCTGCTACTTTCTAACTTGTCTAAGTTAATTTTTCGTATATTATTATAGTTTTCTAGTCAATTTTCAATTTATTTTAGAGTTTTTTTAATAGGAATATTTATATCTATTTCACTTGTGCAGCAAAACTTCTTTTTTATTATTTAACTTTTGGTTAATATATTCTAAATTATTTTCTAAAGTCTTTATGTTTTTTATTATATTTCTAATACAAATTCTACGTTTTTATTGCTCATTGAGATATTTCTTTGTAAGCTTTCTCCAAGATTTACAATTAAATCTTCAATATTATTTAACTGTTTATCTTCAGAATGTAAAAGATATTTAAATTTTTTTTATCAAAAATACAAATTTAATAGGCTATGTCTAAACTATCTTTTCTTTTTAGATTTCCAAGAAGCTATAAATTTAAATAATCTACTCTTTTCATAAAATATGTAAACAAGCTCTGATACCAATTTGGAGAAAACAAATTGTAACTGATGGAATTGGAATTGATGGTTTAGTTTTAAAATGTCTTTTTTTAGAAAGACTTTAGAGGTTGATAGTTGTTGGAAATAATACTGTGATTAAGGATATTACTCCTCAATCACAATCTTTCCATAGCATGCCAATGCCAATCACATAATTGAAGGAGGCTAATTTACACGGTTTCCATTTCATTGTAAATTATTGATCTGTATTCCATTTATACTATCTTGTAAAGCTCTATTTAATGTAATACGATATACCACTGAAATTAAGGTGGATTTTAATCATTCTTATGGTATCAGAGCCAAGTGTTTTAACATACATACCACATATCCTGTTCTTCTTCTTCCCTTCATGGCTTCTGAAACTTCTGCCACCCTTCTTCCTTTCAATTCCTTAATCCACATGATCACCATTAAACTTTCCTCCTCAAATTATCTTCTCTGGAAAGCCCAACTCCTCCCTCTTCTTGAAAGTCAAGAATTATTAGGACATGTTGATGGCACCCTTGTGCAGCTGTGCAGACACATCTCTATTTGTCTTTCATCAGAAGTTCGATATTAACTATTTACTTCTTTATGTTGATGATATCATTATTACAGGCAACAATTCTTCACTTCTTGCCCGCTTCACTCGTACACTTAACTCTGAGTTTGCCACTAAAGACTTAGGCTCTCTTAGCTATTTTCTTGGTCTTAAAGCCACTCCAACTTCTGATGGTCTCTTCATCAGTCAACTCAAATATGCACGGGACATTCTTACTCGAGCTCAATTACTTGACAGTAAACCTGTTCACACGCCTATGGTTGTTTCTCAACATCTTTCTACTGATGGTTCTCTGTTTTCAGACCCTACTCTCTATAGATCCCTTGTTGGTGCACTACAGTACTTGACTATCACAAGGCCCGAAATTGCTCATGCTGTCAACTCTGTCAGTCAATTCTTACACGCTCCCACTGATGATCACTTTCTGGCTGTTAAACGCATCCTCCGCTATGTTAAAGGCACCATTCATTATGGCCTACATTTTCGCCCTTCCACTTCTCCTGGTGCTCTTGTAGCCTATTCTGATGCTGATTGGGCCGGCTGCCTGGATACTCGTCATTCGACTTCTGGTTATTCTATCTATCTTGGCAACAATTTAGTTTCCTGGAGTGCCAAGAAACAGCCGACTGTCTCTCGTTCTAGCTGTGAATTTGAGTATCGTGCCCTTGCCTCCACTGCCGCTGAACTCATCTGGCTCACACATCTCCTGCATGACCTCAAGGTATCCATGCCTCAGCAGTCCACTCTCTTATGTGACAACAAAAGTGCCATTTTTTAAGCTCCAGTCCGATTTCACACAAGCGGGCCAAGCATGTTGAATTGGACTACCACTTTCTTCGTGAGCTTGTTGTCGCGGGAAAACTTCGTACACAATAAGTCCCATCTCATCTACAAGTTGCTGATATCTTTACCAAGAGTGTTCCTCGACCTCTATTTGAGCTCTTTCGTTCCAAGCTCCATGTCCGATCAAATTCGACATTGAGCTTGCGGGGGGAGGGGGGTGTTGGAAATAATACTGTGATTGAGGATATTACTCAATCACAATCTTCCCATAGCATGCCAATGCCAATCACGTAATTGAAGGAGGCTAATTTACACGGTTTCCATTTCATTTACACGGTTTCCATTTCATTGTAAATTATTGATTTGTATTCCATTTATACTATCTTGTAAAGCTCTATATAATGCAATACGATACACCACTGAAATTAAGGTGGATTTTAATCATTCTTAATAGTATTTGTGGTTGGATTTGAAAATTTCTTTACATGAATTGATAGTTTGAAAAACTCTTTGTAATTAATATTTGATTTGAAAAATTCTTTACTTGAATTTATTGTTTGAAAAAATCTTTGTAATTAATATTTTTGTCTTTTCATCTTGTAATGTTTAATTAATCTTGTGGGGAGGAGTCATGTCTCTAACCGCGTGCCTATTGAAGATGAGCCTACAATCTTTAGGATCTTTTATGAAGAAGTTCTGACACTAAAATATAGAACGCTTAGTGATTTGCTACTTAATCTATAAAAACGAGTGACCTCTATTTTTATCTATTACGAACAGTATGTGGCTATCTAAAATGACTAATCTACAAAACTTTTGTTTTTGTATACAAATATTAGTAAAATCATAAAAAATTTCTATTGAACAATGAAGCTTAGTGGAGCAAGTATATTTATCTAATGGCAAAAATCTAATAAAAGTTTCTAAAACAATATATTTATAATGGCCTTTTTAAGAGTACTTTAACGTTTGGCAAATTAATTTCTTCAAACAAAATTATCAATAAATTTCAACTCTCTCTTAATTTTTTTTTTCTTGACCTCTAAAAAGGGTTAAGACAGTAGCCAAAAAAGAATTTTCATCATATTTAAAGGGGTTAAACAAACTTCATCACTTGGAAGACAACATATCCTACGTAACTCAGAGTATTTCTACTTCATCCTTTGGTGTGTTGTATCTTTCGTCGTATGTTTTGTTGTACATGCTTTGGTATTTACAAGGAAATAGATGCTGGTACATCTCATCTATTTCTTATAAATGTTCTTTGAAAAGTAAACAAAATTGTATATCTTTAAAGGTATATGTCCTATGATTTAAAAGTACAAATTCTAACTTCACAGGCATGTGACTTAAAATTAAAAGTACAAATGATCTTTTAACAAAATTTTCTTCACGTTTTTCTTTTGTAACTGCCGTCACTGTTTATCTTTAGTAATTGTCCTTTAAATACTATTCAATCACCTGCTTATGTATTTCATTGATTATTATCTTCGAATTACCGCATTAACTTTCACCTTCCCATCATCTCCATGTAGGCTTCTTCTGGATCAGTATCCATTTCATTATTATTATTATTATTTTCGTCCAATATGCATTCTTCTTCTCCGATTGATTTGTTGATGGTTCACTATCCGTGTCTTGGATAATTCTTTTTGCTGAATATTTGACACTGAAAATTGTTCCCCATCTTATTTTTGTTGTAAGAAATTCTGGACAGAAAATTGGTCCATTATCCCACTGTGCCACAAGTGTGAAGTCTGTATTTTTTATTTCCATCATGGCTGCCATTTTTAAAATATTTCTTTCATGATCAATCTATCTAATTTTTATATTTATATCAGTCTAATTTGAAGAGGGTTTGAATTTTTTGGCTCCTAGATAAATTTGGATATAATGATAGGCTGACATTATAATACCATTATTTACAAGAGGATGTCTAGAAATAAATTGGAACATTAAGGATGTTCTTTTAATTGATCAAGAGCCTGTACAAGTAATTTGGTGGAAAAATTTTGAAGTATCCATTTAAAACATATACATTATCAATCATACCATATTGTAAGGCTCAATAAAAAATGTATTCTTCTTCAAAAATTGTATAATCAAATGAAATTGTAGGATAATTATGTTTAATGAAGGCTAGATTTTTAATAGATGACTTATCCCTAGGATCGTGTTAAAGAAAATATCGATTCTCATAGTGATAATATTTAGCGCTGGGGAGAAATCGATTATTTCTTGTATGACTATTTCTTTATAGAATTAGAATAATTTTGGCATAATCGCCAATTTTTTGTTCTAATTTATATAAAATTTTGTTTTGCCCTGTAGTCTAGAATCTGTTAGTTCAATAAGTCTTTCTATTTTAATGGAATTACTTGTACGAGAGGAAACGTTAACTTCTTTAGAAATAGATTTTTCATTAATATCTCTAAAATTAAATCTTTCTAAATTTTCTTGTATTTGAATAGTCTCATTTTGATATTTATTAATAGTCCATTGAGATAAAGAAATTTGATCTTCTAAAATTTATATTCTTTCTTCTAATGTATGCCTTTGACGATTTAAATTTCTAACAACTCTTGTCAAAATTTCACAACTATCTCTTGAGAAGTGGATGCTTGCGTAATCTAACTCTATCAGATATATGAAAATTAATTTCTATCATCTATCTTCAAAAATTTAACGCTTCTTCTATAATATAAATCCTTTAAATAAGGGATTTGGAATTTTTTTTTTATTTGTTGTAACACTTATGGCTAGTAATTAAGTATACCATGCTTTCTACCCTTGATTATTGGAAAGAAATTGAAATTTTGGCTTTCTATTTGATTATGAATTTGTCTAAATGATTAGCTAAAGCATTAATGCTGTCTAATTTCTATAAGAGTCATGTGTAATCCTTCGAGTATCTAGTATAAAACATTTTCTTTCTAGAAGTCCTTCTAGATTATTTCCTCTAAATCGAATATTAGATCCTAGTGGAGCAACTCTTAGAGTGATATTCCCAAAGTTCATCCTCTAATCCATCCACAATATGAAAAAAATTAGTTAAAAAAATTAATTACTTATCTATTTAAATTATCTACTAAAATGTTATTTTTCCAATCTATATGTTGTATATTAACTTCATAGCTATTTAATATATTCTATACAGTTTTAACAATTTTTTTATGTCTTATTTTATTAATATATGTTTGTTAATAAATTTCACTATAGCTTCACAATATGTTAGAATAGTAAATTCAGTATTCAAAATAACTTGACACTTTCTATACTATGTGTAATAGCCCTAATCTCATAATCTAATTAATTAGGTATTTTCTTTTTATCTTATATTGTTCAGTTTTGTCCTTAAACATTATAGTCGTACCATGTTGAGATGGGGGTAACACAAGCCAAATTGCATATATTTCAATATAATCTTTTTTCTTTTTCTTTTTTTGTTGATACATGATTTAAGTTTCATCTTTCTCTTTCTCTTTATTTTCATGTATTGTGTCCCTGTTGATTACGTTAAATATAAGAACTAAAATTTAATTAATTTTAATTACATATTTCATAGGATCCACATCTTTTCAACCACAAATTTCGCCTTTGTTAGTGTTCCACTAAAAGGAGATTTTTTGGGGGAATGATTTTTGAAATAGTGATTTCTTAGGAGAATGTAAGGTTAAAAAGTATTTTGAGTTCATGGGTAATATTTTATTGAATAAATGTGTGATTGAAAATGAATTTGAAGAAAAAAAAAAAGGTTTTGATTTAATGGAAAATAAAAGCTTCATCAAATTTTATTAAAATTTACTGAAATTCTAATTTTCATCGAAACCAAACATAGTTGTATACTGTATTGTACCATAATGAGGGATCACTACTCCATACTCCCAAAAAATTATCCATCCGCTGACTGCTCGTTCTAAAGCTAAGATGTACATTACTATTACTTAAAATGTAAGTAAAATATATTTTATATTTATACTTATTATTTATTTATTGACTTGCTTAAATTAGAATCACTTTTGAATGTCAAAACATGTGCCAAAATGTGTCCAAAAAATGAAGTCCAAACAGGTAAGTCGATCAGTTCAGGCTTGACTGGATGCTACAGGTAAATTGATTTCTTGGCTACGTATTTTCAGATTTTCATGAAATGCATTCTTTACTTTCTATACAACAGCATATATAGAAATATTACTTATCGTCTTGGATGGATTTGATTGGTTAAATAATTAAAAGAATGAAAGATTATTCTAACAAATGGAATCTTTCCTTAATTTATTTATTGACCATATCAATTATATGCTACTTGATTCTTACCTTGTATTACTGTCATATTTTAGGTAAAACATGTTCGCCTTGGGAGTCTCTACATAAATAGAGAAAACAATTAAGGAATTAACCAACGACTTTGAGAATAATCACTTTATCTCCTACGAAATTGCAACAGCAAGGTCTAAAGTCTTCTGACCAACTCTCGTGAGTTCTGACCGACAGATTTTCGCTAAAAGTTAAACCTGCGTACTTCAACCGTAATTGAAAAGAACAAACTTGTGCATAAAAGATATAATGCTACTCGAATATCAAACTACTTGATGTAAGTTAAGATTGGAGGTTCTTAATTCAAGTGGTGGTTGTGGCCGAATACCACAGAAAAGTTGTGATTTTAAAAATGTGCTTAACATCTTTTCTGAGCCTAATGATGCAGTCCAAAATGGAAATTGAAGTATTAATCCTTGGCCCAATTGATGGAATGTGACCTGGTTTGGCCTATGTTTGTTTTCTATCTCGCATTACTTAAAGATACGTTTTAAATGGAAGGCTGAGATGAAGACAAGTGTTGCTGGCTAGACCGTTGGAAGCATTGGTGACCTTTTATATTCTTGACTCTCTGATTTCTTCTCGTGATTCGAGATTATTCTCGGGTTTCGGTCTTTTTTTGTCTTCTTCGTGATCTCTCTAAAAATCCTTGGTTTTCATTCTGTAATATCGAGTCTT